CTTGTTAGTTTTGAACAAGTTATACAGGAACCAAGGTAGGTCGATCTAATGCAAGAATAATTGAGTGAAATTTAGAAGAATTGAACTTACAAATTCGTTTCTTTGCCAAGCCATAAAAGGTTAAATACAATAAGATGGGTCTATAAGACCAAGGTGAAGCCATATGAGTTTGTTGCAAAGTACAAAGCCAAACTTGTAGCAAAAAAGTTCCTATAAAAGGAGGGATTGGACTATGGTGACATGTTTGCTCCTGTGGCTCATGTAGAAACTATAAGGACTGTGGTAGCACTTGCAAGTCTGAAAGGTTGGTCCTTACATCAAATGGATATAAAGTCTACATTCTTTAATGGGCCACTTGAAGATGAGGAGTATGTGATACAACCACTTGGATTTGAGATACAAGGCAATGAGAGCAATGCATACATACTCAGCATTGTATGGTTTAAAGTAAGCACCACGTGTTTAGAATAAGAGAATTGGTGAGTTGCTAATTCAACAAGGTTTTTCAAAGTGCATTGTTGAATATGGAGTGTTCTCAATGGTCATCAACTATAAGATTTTGATTGTGTGCTTATATGTTGATAATATCTTAGTAACAAACAGTAGTAAGAGGTCAATTACTGAGTTCAAAGCAAGGAAGTTAGAGTTTAAGATGTCAGACTTAGGGGTCATGTCATACTTTCTAGGAATGGAGTTTGTATATATCAACAAAGGGATTTTGTTTCATTAGAAGAAGTATGCCATAAATGTGTTAAAGATGTTTGATATGCAAGATTGTAATCTTGCTGCAACACTCGAGGAGACTAATTTAAAGCTTTACAAAAATTAAGGAGAAAGGTTTGATGATGTCACTCTATACAAACAGATTATTAGTTGTTTAAGATATTTATGTTATAATATGCTTGACATCTATTATGGTGTTGGATTGATATGTAAATTTATGTAAGACCCCAAGATATCTTATGTTACAGTAACAAAGAAGATTTTGAGATATATCAAAGGCACAACGGACTTTGGTCTATTGCTTCCAAATGGTACAAAGTAAAAAATGGAGATGTACTAGTTAGGTATTTAGACTATGATTGCTGTGGAGACAAGGCTGATAAGAGGAGTACTTCAAGATATTTGTTCTTGATTGGTAAGGCACTGGTCTCATAGTGTTCAAAGAAGTAACCTTTTGTGGCATTGTATTCATGTGAAACTGAATATATATTTGCTTCTTATACAGCTTGTTAAGCATTATGCTTGAGTCATTGTTGAAAGAGATTCAAATGAGGGAGAATAAGTCTGCCTTAGATATTAAAAAGAACTTAGTAGCACATGAAAGGAGTAGGCACACTAAGATTCGCTTCCATTTCTTGAGAGACCAAGTGATTAAGGAGAAGTTGCAACTAGTGTATTGCAACACAACTAATCAACTTGCTAACATATTGACTTAGCCTTTGAAGATTAAGATATTCAATGAGTTGAAGAGAATATTGAATATTATATCTGTTAAAAATTATGAATTAAAGGGGTTGTTAAGAAGTTATAATTTAAAAATAATTTATGTAATGATACAGATTTAGATCTTATAAATAAGAAACATTTGTACAATATATAAAATGTGCATGAATATACAAAAAATAGTATTTTCAAATTTCTTCATTCTCTCTTAGTATATGAATTTATTAATTTCTTCTCAAAAGTTTAATCCCTGTAGTATACCAAATTGCTATAATTTTTTTTTTAATTAGGTTTTGCCCTTACAATATGCAAGACTTTAAAAAAAATAAATTTCACACCTATACAAACTACGTAGTGACATGCCAAAAAAAGCCCAAGGGTCACAGCAAGAGAAAGTTCTTGAAATATGAGATTTACAAATTCTAAATCCTTAAATATGGGCATTTCCGCACATATACAGGAATATGGGATTAAAAAATGATAAATCATGAAATATGACTTTTCTGCACATCTACAGGAATGCGACATATTAAAAACGCCAAAGGCGATTTCTTACGTAAATAGTTACAGGGCAGGATTAGAGCAGAACTGCATGTGCCTAAAACGTAACAAAAAACGCCATTGACGATTTTGACTTGAATATTTATTTAGGACTTCATAGCAGAAGCTAAAACCGTCAAAGACGTTTTTAGCTTGGTCAAAAATATTGTATTGTCAAATTGATGCAGGCAGGTGCAGGACGTGAGGGGCAATAAACTCGCCGTTGGCGATTTTAAATGCTGCCATGCAGGGACCTGACTCTATAAAGTCGACATTGGCGATTTTAAACATTTTAGGCCTATATATTTGCTGCATGCAAGAAATGGGACGGGACAAAATTGAAGAAGAAGAAGTGAGATTCTGGAAAAATAGATAGAAGTTGAAAAATTAGAATTATACAACCGTTGATTCAAGAAAACATATTTCAAAACAAATTCAAAATTTAAATGTAAGTTTTTCTATGTTATTTAATATATTTTTATGTGTATTTTTATTATGGTTTAATTTTTAATAAATAAAATATAACATTAGTAATATATAGTAGTTGGTTTTTTTTTTAAGTAAAAGGTTAATTTGGATTTTTTATAATAATTTATATTGTTATAGTAATTAAAATAAAAAAATGCTGAATTTGTGTTGAAAAAAGACTAAAATCAAAAGCACGTAAGTTTTATTTTTGAAATGTATTATCATTAATGTATCATGTTAATTTAAAATTGATTATATATGATGTGAAATACATTATAATTTTGTTGTAAATATTTTTGTCAATTATATTATTATAATAAAATTTGATTTTATAAAATTTTATAATTTCTTAAATATTTATTAGGATTTATGTAATATAGATATTGTTTTAGTAATAATGGTGTTTTTTAATTATTTATAACAGGTAATGAGAATGTTACGCTCTCATCACTTATCAATAATGCCTCCTAGGATTGAAATTATGGAAATTTTACGACATGGTGGATTTGATCGAATTTCTCAACTTTGTGAAATGCAAATAAATTCACTGATAAATGCGCTGATAGAATGTTGGAGGCTTGAAACACACACATTTCACTTAATATGTGGAGAATGCACAATTACATTGGAGGATGTGTACATGTTACTTGGACTTAAGATCAGCGGTTTAGCAGTGATTGGTTCTACAAATTCTTTTACTGTTATTATACAGGATATGTGTGAAAATTTAATAGGAGGCCGACCTGATTCAAACGACATTGACGGATCAGAAAATAAATTAAAGTGGCTATCCCAACACCTTGGTTTGCTTCCTTGTAATTTTGACATTAGGTTACATCACCATGCTCGTGGGTATATTCTTTGCTTGTTAGGACATGTTCTTATGCCAAATAAAAGTAATTCAGTGGTGCATGCAAAATTCTTACAGTTATTAACAAATGTGAATGAAATTGGCAATTACAGTTGGGGATCAACATGCTTGGCCTTTCTTTATAGAGGCTTAGATCGAGCTTCTAGACATGATGCTAAAGAAATTTGTGGCTGTTTGATACTTTTGTAGGTGTGGGCATGGCATCGCCTCCCATGGCTTGCTCCAATCCCGGAAGAACCACTAATATTTCCACTTGCTCTTAGATGGAGACGATTGCGATATCTAGCAAAAACTCCGTTTAAGAATCTTCAGAATATTAGATTAGCATTGGATCAAATGAATCTTAATGAGGTAAAGAGTTTTACAAAATGTTATTAAGATGTTACATTATGAAAACCTTTGTTAATGAGATGTTAACAATAACTTATATGTTTATTGCAGTTTTGGTGGAGACCATATGTGAATGATGAAATTCATGCAGTAACTCCAGATAAAGTGAGGCGTGAACAACAAGTGTGGTCAACTGTTAGTCCTCTTATATGTTTTGAAGTCATAGAGTGGCATGCAACTGATCGTGTTATGCGTCAATTTGGATATGCTCAGCCTATTCCTCTTCAGCCCCAACAACTTCAAGGAGTCCATAACAGAGACCTACGTGGAGCAAAAGAACCAAAGGATTGGGCAATCACGATTGGATAACAATGTGGGAGCATCGACATGAACGTATTTTGGAAGGAGTCGAAACTCATAATTTCTATCATTCTAATGAATATTGGGCATGGTACACATTATATGCAATGGACTGGTTATGGTTATCCCCACAGATGGAAGACCCAGCACCTGAACAAGAAATGTTGCCTATAAAGTCGTCACTTTCTGAGCATGAAGACATTTCTATGGATGCACCACCTATCCATTCCACAAGACATTCCAACAACATAAACACGCCAAAAAAACATCACTATTAATCTTTATGAACTAGGGCCAGCAACATTAGGACAACGAGTACGACTATGGTTTTCACCTCGACATAGACTACAGCGTGGTGCTCGCCACATTTGTCTCATATCTATTTCATTAATAAAGCGAGTTGATTTGGGATGTCCTTTCAAAGAATGCTTTAAGGCAAGGTTAGGACAGAGCTTGAGACCTCGGTATTTGTGCCACTTTGATTCATTCCCTACAACCCCAAATACTTTTTTGTAGACTTTGCATACTTGATTGATGGTATAGACTTCATTCACATAAACACACCAATCAATATTTTGACTACAACAAGCAGCAATTACGTGGTGGCATGGATATCGATCAATTTGCAAGTTTCCACAGTCACAATAACTTTGTCTCAGATGAACTCGATATTCTTCGTTGTTGGATAAATCCTGAACATGAAAAGCCTTATTACATCTGTCAAACTGTGTGATACGGAGGTTTCTTGAGTCATGCTCGTTTGATTGAAGACGACTTGTAATATTTTCTGAGAACAAATGTCTAGTATTCTTCCGTGCATATGCCTCGCTTCCCTTACGTGCAAATAACTGTGCCAGTCGGAAGTAAGTGGCTCTTATAAGTGCTGTGATAGGCAAATTGCGGGCACCTTTTAAAACAGAATTAATGCATTCAACGAGATTCTTCGTCATATGACCCCTCGATGTCTGCCATCAAATGCTAAAATTCACTTTTCTCTTGGTATTTCACTAAGCCAGTCTTCATAATCTTGTCCACGCTCCCGTAATCGTTGATAATGAATATTAAATTCATGTTCAGTTCTTGAGTAACCTGTAAATAACAAAATCAAATTTCATTAGTATAGAAAAGGTCATCTAGTAATATATTAATAATATTATTTAAAATACAAAAATCAAGTTTATTATCCATCCGAACAATAAGTTTATGCAAGTTGGGAGTCTTGAATCTACGCAAGAAATTTGCAGCAATGTGCCTGATACAATACATGTGGAATGCTCTTAGAGGTTCCCACTGGCCATTACTTCTTCTGATTGCTGCTATAATTGACTTGTGACGATCAGAAATCAACCCAACGCCATCTTTAGTAACGACATATTTTCGTAAATTTTCTAGGAAAAAACTCCAAGCATCTGCTATCTCACCCTCAACTACAGCGAATGCAATCGGCAATATATTCTGATTTCCATCTTGTGCAACAGCAACTAGTAGAACTCCTTTGTATTTTCTATATAAATGTGTCTCATCAACCTGCACAAGTGGCTTGCAATGGCAGAATGCTCTAATGGAGGGACCAAAAGTCCAAAACACTCGCTGAAATATTTGAACATTAGGAACCAATTCATCATTGCGATAAGCCTGTACAACATCTAATTTCACAATAGAACCTTGATCAGCATCACACATTGCTATGCACCATTGCGGCAAAGCTTCAAATGAGGCTTCCCACTTACCAAATACATTTTCAATTGTCTTTTGCTTTGCCAACCACACTTTTCGATAACTTATCGTATACCCAAAGCGAGATTGAATTTCCCCAATTACTACTTTGATTTTAAAAGAAGGATCAGATTCTACCATTGGCTTTATACATTATGCAATTAAGTCTGTATCCAACTTTCTGTGATATTGAGAAATGATTCCAACAGTACAAGTGTGTGGACCGTTGTATTTTTGGATTTTCCAAAAATACTCGTTCTTCCTGAAACTACATTGGAGAAGCCACCTACAATCAAAGCCATACCTTATACATTTACAGTAAAACGTATTTGATTCTGACTCGAACACTTTGTAATCTACTCCTTTTGATATACTATAATGCTTTACAACTCTTATTATAGCTTCTTTGTTACTGAATTGCTTTCCAATATACAACTCACCATCTATCTCTGTGTTACCTACCAATAACGAATATAAACTAAGTAACAGAAATTTAATTAATTATACTAACATAATTTTAAATATCACATACCTAAATTTGCATACTCTGGAAACTCAGTAACATTCATAGCACCAAGATCTAACTCACGCATGAAAGGTGGCTCCCCAAAAGGATGTTGCCCACCCATATGGGACCCTTCTTCATCATTATCATCGTCAAGATCCTCATCGTTGTCTTCGCCACTTCTATATTCTTCTTCAAATTCGTTCTCATCACTTTCGCTGTTGTTGAGTTCTCATTCTATCTTTGTCTCTACCATTGTGCTCGAAAATTCTGCTTCAACCTCTATATTTTTGAAAACAACATACAACTCAATCATACCATTTGGAGGAGGACGTTGCTGATGTATCTGAAACATTTGTTGAACACCTTCATCGTTGGTTATTTGAATTGTATGATATTGAATAAAACCACCAAATATTGATATTGGACATCGATACATAACACTTTCTACTATTTTTAGAAATGGAACTTCATGAACGTATTGACAAAGCCAATACTTTAAATCTTCAAATGATATATTATATGGAATATTCACACATGTCGACTTCTCACATACAAATGTCACACCTTCACTTGTATTTGATATAATCTCACCATTGAAATAAACTACAATAGTCACACTCATTTTTTCTTTTGATAAAACACAAGCTGTTAATCACACTCTTACACTCTTAGAAACAAAAACTTTAGGGTCGACTCGTTCTGAAGGCAAATTACAGTATTTATAGTTTCATCAATCCAAAATCACCAATGGCGTTTTATAACATTCTCTGGTATCTGTGATTAGTCAAAGGTCGTCATTGACGTTTTTAAAAAAGTTAAAACAATTTCTGACCGTCAAAGGTTGACATTGGCGATTTTACTTACTTTTTCAACTTCTAAAATCACTATTGGTGATTTTACTTTCGCAATTTTTTTTTCAAAATTGTCATTGGCGATTTTATATTTTAACTAACTTACTGACAATTAAAATCGACATTGGCAATTTTATACATTCACCATATTTTCATCATTTTCTAAAAAAAAACCCATATTTTGGTAATTTCTTAAAAAAATACTCATATTAAAAAGAATGACCCGTGACAGCAACTATGTTATAAACGTAAAATGACATGCAATTATTTGTATTCGTTTGCTCCCGCTTGAAATAGTGAATAGGTACTAGAATTGGGCCGGCAAAAAAACCAGATGAAAAGTTAAGAGATGCGAATCATCAAAATAATATTCAAATTTGTCAAGTGAGAGATTTTAGGCATCACATTCGGTCATCAGGTAATATGGCATGTGCTGTACATTCATGACGATTCTTGCAGGGTGTTTACAGGTTGGTTTGTTTTGGATTTAGGATAAAATAAAATTTGAATCGATCAGATTTAAATAAACTTGTTGCGGCAGATTTTGTCCAGCGGGGAAAGTGTAAAAGGGGTATATAACCCATTACGATAATATTATTTTTCGCATTTAAGTCGATGAAATAAAATTTTACAAATAGAGTATATGGTTTCAAGAATGTAACCTTTTGGAAACATATCCTTGCCTTAATTTAAGAAAAATTTACAAATGAATATGAATTTCAGAAGTTGTATGAAGTTTCGGCATATAAAACGAACCTATTAAAAAATTATGGAAGTTAGGAGAATGTAAATCCAAGCAACACTTTCGACACATGGAATTGAGACAATCTCGCACTTGTTAAACCAGGATAAGGGTAACGCTATCTGATTCGGCCAAAAATGTTTTGCTTAGCTTAAGTTAAAAAACCTATCTATAACCAAATTACTTCAGCAGTTTTACCAGTACAACCAAAATGGTGACAACATAAATTTGGCAATTATAGTTGTAATAATGGAAATATTTCTCTTGGATCCTTTTGTTTGACAATTGATATTGCAAAATGCGTCACAGGCTTGGCTATAGTTGTGTCAAGATAGAATCTCCACAACTAGTTTATGAACAGCAAAACGGCTCAACTACAGTTCAGAAGCCCATTCCGTTATTTCATGTGCTTAGTACATATATTGTTTATGGAGCAAGAAGAAAAAAGCGATGATGGTGTAGAATATAGGTACAAGGGTGAACAGAAAATAGAGGCATGACCCTACTTGGTGCAGGTAGCGGTGATATTCCTAAATCTTAGCAGTATAACTGATTACGATGACACCATCAATGCACTCTAGCTCCTTCCAGATTCAGTCATTCAAGTTAATTTTAAACACAATAAGTTTACACACTTCAAAACCCTGCACCTCGAATGTTACCTCCTATCACATAAATCGTCACAACCATGTTGATATACTGTGCATCAGTCTTATTTGAAATGAGATAGACATTAGCAGTCATAAACCATCATTCATGACGCTCATATAAAACATTTCCAATCAAAATTTCTAAAGGGTGGATTAGGAGCAAACTTGAATGGGTTGAATCTACTCTTTCAAGGGAGTCAATGATCCTCAATCTTCTTCAAACCCTTCATATCCGTTGTTTCAACTCTGCATTAAAAGAATAATATCAGAAAATTCATGAGTTATATATGTAGATAAGATTTTAAACAAGAAAATTAGCACAAATGAACCTGTTTCATTTACAGTTTTTCCTAACCAACAACCCCACCCACCTTAATCTCCCCAAGGAAGAAAGATTTAATACCCATGCAAGTGAATTAAGCACTGATTCCAAAGTGACAAATGCTACAGCATGATGCAAAGCAATTTAAATAACATTGCAATTAGAAAAAAATGAAATGAATATCTGGATCCTATAACTTTCTTGTTTCTTTCACTAGATCCTGATTGACAATAAAATTGTGTAAAAAATATATGTTAAATATTAGATGTAGATGAATAAACAGATAGGAACGACAATCCAATTAAGGGGAACAGAAAAACAAAATATGAGTGATAAGGGATTTGATAATTCTGTATTCACAGCAAAGGAAACTTAAAGTTGTAAGGCTAGAAATGAAGGTTAATCTAACTTGATAGATGGTTTATAACTTACGTTGTACCGTGCAGCACAATCTTTTGAACTTTTGTGATCTCTGAACCTGATTGGTTGTCCTCAATAAAAATTGTCAAGCTGATCAAGTAATTAACACAAATTAGAAGGTACTCCCATTAATTAGATGATACTAACGTGAGACAATTTCCAAAATGAAGGAACAAAGGAAAACAACAATACAACATACCTTCGAACATTTTGGAATTTAACATACTTTAAAATTACCGGTTTCCCCTGTCAGAGTACAATGGAATAATGGTGCTGTTAATTATTCTGTATGTGTGGAAAGATATCATGAAATTGCTTTGTCACATGTCATTTCATGAACTTAGTAGAGGAGTTATAGGAAAACTACCTTAAGGTTTTCCTCGGACAAAACTGCCACATCACTTGGTGGAAAGTCATTGACATTACTGTCATTAACAATTGATCAGCAACTAATTGAGCCACACAAGACAACAGAGCTACGACAAACAAACAATTTTGGCCAAACCATACCTGAATCCCATGTGCTCCTTGTTAGAAAAGAGCTTCACTGTCTTGGGGCCTAAAAGACAACAATGCATTCCCATTATAATCACATCAACATGAAAAAATGTGCAGTAGCAAATCAGTGAAGATCATCATATATATAAAAACTGAAAAATCATCTCTGACATTTGAGTTCAGAAAACAGACTAAAAGTTGCCAAACAAAAAGAAAGATGTACCAGGACACCTTATTTCTACCACATTTTACATCCTACGTAACATTAATTGACTAATATATCATGCAGCAGCCGCTGATACTGTTACTTTGTCAGGGAATGACTGTATGAGAGAAGAGCATAATTTAGGGTCCCTTTTGTTCAATTAGTGTGAAAGAACATGTTACCTTCATCTTCAGGACCTTTGATAACAATGGAATAGAGTTTAACAACTTGTGTGAAAGGAATATAGAGCAAAAGCTGCTCATCAGCATCACTCTCCAGATGCAAACCATCGTCTTCTCTATAACCCTGTTAAAAATTATCGAAAAACAAGGACCCTTTAAGGAAGAGCACAAAACTTGCGTCTCAAAAACAGGAAATGAAACATGGGATTAAAAATAAAATAATGGGGGTTTGAAGAAAAGAGAGAAAAGGGAAACCTGTTTGATAGCATTGGGGAGAGGGTGGGTTGAGTTCTGATTGAGGCATTCAACCCCAGACCAGTCTATGAAGTCTAAGAGATCAACCTAATCACCAAATACAACCTAAGGTTAGAACTTTCTTCCCTCTCATCAAATAGAATCGAAAACGTGAGTGATGATATAGTTTGAATCTTACTTGACCCTTTTGAATTGCGCTCGCTGATTCCCCAGACATTGTTGCTGATACGATTTTCGCGAGAGAGACGAAGAAAGAGAGAGACAGAGAATCAAATATCAATGGCTAAAAGCAAACCCAGCTCCGAATAAGGTTACGCTCGAACCTCCCAGTTTTTATTAATTAATAAATTAAAAAATAATTAATAGTTTTCCTGATTAAAACGACGACGTTTCAGTCGACAATTTAAAGTCAGCTCGGTGTCACAAACGGTTTTTTACGGCAACTAATATATAAATAGGACTACGGTGCGTCTCCTTGAAAATAGAGAGAACCATTCCAAGCTTAGAATTTATTTTACAGTGGTGTCGAAAGTAAAATAAAGAAAAAGCAACTTTTCATTTATAGTTTGAAGGCAAAATTAATTATGGTAATAAACTATTCTTATGAATTTATATTATTTTGTAATTGTTTGATTTACTTTAAACTTAGTTTACTTAAAAATATATTTAATTAGTTTAATTATATTTTTTTAAACAAATTTAATGCTCATTTGACTATCAAGTTCGGACCTATTTGAGAGTAACAAATATTGTGTTTTAATTAAAAGATCCTCGAGGCCATATAATCACTTATGAGAATTACATATATTTTAATCTTAATTTTTTAATATTTAATAGTCAAAATTTAGGACCTTCATTCATTCTCATACAAAAGTAATTATCTTTCTTAAATGCATCTCCTGCTAGATGAAAAACTAATATTTATAATTATATCTTATCTAATAATTATCATTAATATTTTCATGGATAAAATTATATTAAAAAAAGGTAATGTAGAGAAGGTCAGTTTAAAATATATTTAGTTTAAAAAAATTAGAAATCATTAATTGGGTTTCTTTATTCTTCTATAATGACCAATATACAATTTTGATCATCAAATTTTTTTTGCATGAATTTACTTTTTTATTTTTTAAATTATTAAAATTAATTTCATCTATCAGTAAAAAAATATAGAATTTAAGTGTTCTTTCGAAGAAGGAGTAAAGTGTTATGCGTTGATTAGAAGAAGAAATCATTGTTTCGCTTGTTTGTCCGCATGCAGTGGCTTCCGAGTTCCATTCCGGGCGCGATGCTGGTGCCGATGTTTCAATTTGTTGGCATACAACACAATTTTATTGGGCTTGACCCAAGTTGAGATTGGATGGAAATGGGAAGTCTTATGTAATATTACTGATAATTCAAACTATATTATAATTTTTTGAAAAAATAATAAGTATGGTGAGATATATATATATATATATATATATTTAAATCCTTAATCAGTACCATCTTATTTAGAAGAAATGATTGTCGAAATTTTTTTGTCTTAATTATAAAAAAAAATAAAGGTTTGTTTTTAAATATATTAATTATTAAATTTTTTATACCCTTAATTTATCATAAAGTTATATTATTAAGCACTTACATGTTTCTCATGCAAGCCACTAAAACTTAGTCATTTAATATAATAAATGTTTATAATATATATAACTGCTTTTTTTTAATAAGTTAGTTACTTTTATTTTATAAAATAGGGTCGGGGTTAAAAGTGGTTACAGCCCGATTAAATATAATTAAAATATGTAAATAAATGAATCTAAACTGAAAATTTCTCGGGATTAATATTTTTCATTGGTCATAGTGAACCTGATATTTAAAAAATTAATGACCGCAAGACAGTTATTTGCAATAAGAAAAATGCATGTTATGTTATTGCTTGGTGTTTGCATGTGGAGTTGAATCTGTGTGTAACCCCAAAGTGATCATCTTTTTAGTCCCGTTCGCATTGAAGAGTGAAAAAAAATTCACCTTATATTTAAAATTAATTTTTATTACATGATTGCTTCCTCGGAATTGCAGTAAATGAAAAGCAAAATATTACTATAATTACTGCTTTTTTGTGGGTAACAGAAGGAAAAAAAAAATGGCGAAATAGAAGGAATAGTAATTTGGAGCTAATGGGAGACGATATATTACAATATAAGGAAATAGTAACAGTGCAGTAATGTGTAGATGGCTATAAAATCTATGTGTATACAGTAGTATTCATTCGCCAATGACGGAACCCTGGCTTTATTTCTACACTAATAACAATAAGGCTATTAATTGGTATTACACAAAAATAACTGTGGGCAACAATCAAATCAATAATTCACCAAAATAATTTTCGCCATTAGACTTACAATGATGAAACCAGACCAGAAGTTTGGTGCAATTCCACAAACCATACCTTGGCGTGCTAGGTCCACATAACCATACCCGTGGACATCAACAACATAACCATCCAATGGAACCTTCCTCGGAAGATTGAAGCTGAGTTTTCTGGGGAAAAAAATAGACACCCTTTCAGAATTCAAAATTCTAGAAACTTATTTTAAATATCAATATTGTATGGACATAACAACGGTGCTCAATGTTCTTATTTACGTTTCAACATTAATAACTAAAGTATAAGATAAGTGAAAATATAGGTGGTCTAAGTCCAATCTCACCTTGACTGCCAATTGCATTATCAGTGGTTGAATTTGAAACTTTGATTCCAAGTCTCGAGCAATCAGATCCAAGAGTACCTTGAAAATAGAACCCCAACAAAGAAAATTCTCCTTAATCAATATTCTATTTTCTAAACCCCAATATTCTGCTACCATTGTCAAGATAAAAAAAAATGGGTTTTGGATTCTTACATTCACTGTAACAAGGGAAAACGGAGATGTTGAGAAGATTAAAATAATTGGGGTTGCATTCGCATCTGTATGTATGTGTCCTGTTCTTGGTGCATTTCCCTTCCCCACAGTATGCCCAATAGCAAGCTATGGCATATTTTTATTTTTACATAGAAAATGATTAGAAAATGAGAAAATCTTTAACCAATGTTTTTGTTAGTAAGGGCGAAAATTTAATTGATTATTAATTTTTTACACTGTCAAATAAGAAAGCATCATCACATGATAATTCATTAATAATATTAAACTTTTTGAATAAATAATTAAATTGAAACTCTTAATTATAATATTAAATAAGCATGTTTATGAACCATCATTCATCAACGAGTGGAGTTACTTACGATCAAAAGCTGAGAAGTTATGCGGAAAACTCTTCTCTGGAACTGGCGGTGGTGCTGGCTGACAACCATAGTTCAGGGTACCTGCAAATGATACAACAGATTGTCATTAAAATTGTTGACATGTCTCAAAATTTTGCCATGCTAGCATCTGAATTTTGAACCATTAATGCATAGCAAATGATATCAAATAATATATGTTTGAGTCTTATAATTTTTGTAAGACCTAACTACAAAACTACAAAATGCATGTATTTCTCTCTCTCTTATTTAACCCACATGACTTGACTAGAAAGGATCCAAACCCATACTCCAAGTGAATAAGAAATGGGGAAAGAGATAATAAAATTTACATTCAGGAATGACACATGGAAGAAAGCTAGTGGCATATGCATCACTGTCATCTTCTTGGGTTCGCTTCCAGCCAGATTGGCATTCACAGATGAAGTTTAATGGGTAACTTGTGTTTACTACGCAGCTTCCCTTCCCACATTCCACTTGGTCACAAACATGGCCTGCAATTAATGTTTCATTTCAATTGAAGTTGTTAGCACTGATTCACTAACACTTGATAGCCTTGCATATATCTTAATGCATTAGATAAATAGATGAAGTACCAAGGAAATCATCAACAAGATCCCCTTTGGCAGCCAAGGGTAGCAACAGCATGAGAAGCATGGCCATAAGGTCCAAAAACCTGGAGGAACCCATTTGGTAATAAGACCAAAAAAAGAGACTTTAAGAGAAGAAGAATTGGTGTATGATCGAAGCAGGATTTGGATTAGTCTTTATAAATACTGAGAAGTGATTCCGTCATGCGTTCTCACTGTTAGTTGCCACCCGTTTTTTCGTTACACGATTTTATTTTTATATTCATAATATTATACACTTCTTGTCTTTTTCATTCGTATAAAAATTCGCGTGTTTCACACATACACCGGACTTTTTAATTAAAAAAATATGTGGCAGGTCATCTATGCTGTCACCTAAGAAATAATTGTTTAACTTTTCGAAATTTTATCTTGTTATATACAAGTATTTTAATTTTAATTTATTTTAACTAATTTTTAAACTTTAGTTCTTTTATAATCAAGCACCCTGATTTTCAATTGATCTATAAATTTATTATTTTTTAAAAAAATACTCTCAACATTAATTTTGTTCAATTGATTTTTAAAAAATTCTTCAAATAGCTTCTCCTATAAATTAAGTGGAAATTCAATTACTAACAAGGAAGAAATTCTAACTATTTATTTATTTTAAATTTTAATCAATTTTTTTGTTGGAAATTCTTTTTTACATATAAAAATTATGAATTTAGGGGAAAATTCTGAATGCATCAATCTATATTTTGGTTTTTATTTTTTTCTGAATTCAAATTTTTATTGTGTTTTGGCATTTAGAAAATAAAATAAAATAATTTATTAATGACTGAGATTTAAGGTAAATAAATGGTTAACATTTTTTAGTAATTTAGTTAAAAAAATTATTTTACAAAAGAAACTGTTTGTTAAATAGGTAAAGTATAAGGATCAATTAAAAAATAGATAAATTATTATTCTTTTCCCAAAAAAATTGGTACAATGCTATCATTTATTTATTTATAAGAAATTGTTATATTTTTAATGAAGATTTATGAACAATTAATTCCTTCAATATAACTATTAAGCATATTTTTATAAAAGTAGGAATGAACTAACAATGTATTTAAAAAATTAGTTTGATTTGTATTTATTTTGGTTATTTTTTCATTTCTTTTATATATTTGTATAGTTGGACCATTGTTCGGTTGTTATTTTTTAAAAGCTTTGATAAAATGAATTAAACAGAGAAATCAAAATCCACAACATGAGCCAAGAAAAAGAAGGTAATAAAAGATAGATTCTCCTCAATCTAAATAAAATCATATAAATAAAAGATATTTTAGCAAGTGCTATATTTGCCTGTTCTCTAATGTGATAAACTGAAGAAGATAAAAAAAAATTGAAGACAAAGCGTTACAATCCTAAACTATGTTAGGTAGTTATTAAAATTACTATTTTTATTATGTATTGTGTGACGACAACACACAACTTGAAGTAGTAAAAGAAAAAAAAAGTTAGACGGTAGGTTGAACCGTAACAAAAGAAAAGGAGAAGAATACAACGAGAAAACTTGTCATTACTTGAAATGCTCCAAATAGCTTTTCTCACATTCTTTTGACAACAGAAAATAATTGCCAATTTTTTCTCTAAACAACATATTCTGCTGCGCTGTACTCAAGAAATTTAAGTTCTTCTCATCTAGAAGAACATTGAAAAGTAAGCAAGGACACCCTTTTTTTTATCACGCAAAAATGGTTAGGAATAAGTCAGAATAGAGGAAGAAGAGAAGCAGCTTGCAGAAACATACTTCACCATACAAATTAATTCTTCTTATAATATGTAGCCCTCATATGTATATATATCCCGTCTCTTTTTTCAAAGCTATTGAAGTTAGCGATCATAATCAAATCCAAACCCAATATATATCGTAAAAGCTACTTATAATAAGTAAAAACTATCATCCATCAAATAAGTTTGAGTCCAAATATTGATAATTATTTACAAGATTTTTCAGATATGGACATTATTGTACTCAACCCCACTTTTATTCATATAGTATTTTTTTATATTTTATAATTAAAATTTGAAATTTAACTTTTTAATTAAGTTAACAATTTATTTGTAATTTTATATAATTAAAATTATTATCTTTAAATATTTTAAATTATATACTACATTTTCAGTCAATATTTTTTGTTAGTTTTTTTTTATCATTAATAATGGTATTATAAAAGGATTTGTATTTTATTAATTTGTCAAGCAATAACATTATGAAAACCTATTTAAGTTAATTAAGATGAAGATAATAAATTTAAATATAAACATATAAATACTTAACGTATGAGGTTGTAAGTTTTTTTTATAGTCCATATCTTAAAATTATTATTTACGGCAAATATGGATCTGCATTCGGATTTTTTATTTTTCAAAATCTGAATACGTAACGTTGATGAATATTATAATGGTTTGTGGAGCTTTATGATACCAAATTGTAGTTGATTCATATTATAATATGCGAGGCCCGTCAAATTGTATCTTGTAACGGTGGACCCTATCATTTTGATGCGTCTTTGTTCTAACATTAACTTCTAGATACTGAGTAGAAGTTAAATACAAAGGCCGTTGACGATCTTTCCCTTATTTTTCTTATAGCATGTAACAACCCATCTGAGATTATGCGCATAAACAATTCAGAGTAAGTTGCGGTCGCACAAGGGTATAATGGCATGTGCGTGTGTGTATATATATATATTTATTTTCATTAGCAAAAAATTGTAAATGTAATTTTTGTAGTATTTTTATCAACCAAAAATTGTAAATGCCATTTTTATAGCCTTTGATATTTATTTTATTTAATAATCGAATTAATATTTGATGTAGGAGATGAATCTATCCTGAAATAAACATGTTTCTTGATGCCTCCTTGTGTAAAGAAGCTCTCAGTTAAGGAACACTTTGTAGCAATTTCGAAACAATTGAATGAAGAGAAAAAAAAAAATACACAATGATGGAGGAGAAACAAAATGAAAAAAGAAAGACGTTACGCTCTGAAGATAAGCCTAAGTGTGATTTTCCAAATTGATTGATACGAACTTCAAGCTCAAAGTTTTATTTGAACAATTAAGAAAAAAAAAAGATAATGAATCTTACAAACTTGAAAAAGTATTTTGCATTCTATCACTAAAAGTGTGAATTACGAAGAAAGTAGTTTTTATATAAACTTGCATAGGTGGTCATCTAATGAGTTTTTCTAAAGCCAAGTCCAATTCTTAAACTATTTAACCAAAGGTTGCCAAAATACATGACCTACATATCTTAAGTAACTAAGCCCAAAAATATAAGACTAACTAATGAAATGTAAAGAAAAAAATATAAAGAAAAAAAGTCCTAAACTAACAAATGGTATTTATAAAAAGAAAAAAATGTGACATAAGCTTACAAAATATATACATGAGGCTTATGTATTTATTATGGTGCATGTGAAATATGCATAAGTTTTCATGTGATCTTACAAAGAATGTAGTTCCCCTCACAAGTTCAATAAGTTTGTTGGGGGCCTTTTTGGACTTCTTAACCCTTGATCTAGTCATAGAATTTTGAAGTGACTTGATTTAGTCATGGATCTTGTCACTAAGCTAAGAAAACACTAATTAGGAAGTGTACTAGGTAGTTGTAGCAAGTAATAAAACTCAAGTAATGTCATCAAGGATTAGTTCTATCAATTACCACTTCACAAATCAATAACTAGTTGAGCCAAACGAATATTGGAGATGTTTTGAGTCATTTCAGAACAAAAGTAATAAAGTGTAGAAATCAAAAAATAACAGCAAAATAGAGTAACAAGTTTAAAAATAAATTGATATATGAATGGAGTTAGGATTAATTTCTGAACTCTAAGTTCTTTAATTGATTAATGATCAATTTTACTAGATTAATTAAAGGACAATTCCTTACCTCATTGATCATAATATCTAACTAAACTACTCTAATTTCTTAGGTGTAATTCAGTCAAACATTGCATTAGACATTAGAAATTAAGAGATCACAAGATTATGAATTCTTATCCCTAAAATATCCATAACCTTGACATTCAATTCAGATCTAAGAAATTAACTCAACTTCCATACATTCAATCCTCCAGGTTCAATTCACATTCAATTCGTGACTCCTATTGTTCACGAAAATTCCCTTTACAATGACAAATAGAAATAGAAATAAGAAATAGGTTAAGTTTCCAATAGAGGCTTATGGTCTAGCCTTTTAAAGCTTAGTTTGATTTTGTCTATTTAAGTAAAAGGCTTAATTAATTAAATAGGTTACACTTAAGTTTTAAAAAAAAGCTTATTAGAATAAATTATTAAAACTCATAAAAATTATAATAATATATTAAATAATTTTATATAAAAATTATAATATAATATAATATTAAATAAATTAAATTTTAAAATAAATAAAATCTTAAATTAAATATCTCAATCTTTTTCGTTGGAGCTAAAGAGTATCTCTACTACATACCTTCTAAGAGAAAGTCATGTTTGTCAAAGTCTTTTGCAGTACTCTTATTTGATTTATCTTGTACGCATATAGCATTTACATTTGCACTGTCTTGATTACGTCTATGGTTGATTTGTCTCATTCATTATCTTCTTGCATACTTGTTTATATTATATGTAACTCTTTTATTATTATTTTTCTTTTGTTTTCTCTATTTTGAGGTTAATAAAATGTTTTCTCTCCTTAAAAGTAATAAATAATTTTATCTACTCATGTTGTACTTGCACTTGTGAATAATCAATCATAAGTGATTTCAATTAATAACATATTTATAAATAAGTTTAATGACCTATTAAAAGTTTTAATATAAAGCAAGTCATTAAAAAGACTAATAGGTCAAAACAATTTTTTAAAAATTTCAAGTTAGGCTTAATAAAAAATTATGAGAAAAAATAGCTCAAATTTAGACTTCAAAATTATTAAATAGATTAGACCTATTTACGCAAAGTTTAGTCCAGCCTAGTCTATTTTTATCCCTAATAACAAAAAAAAAATTGAAAAGTATGTTAAGTTCCTTAAGAAAATATTGAGAAATAAGATGAAGTAGAAGTAAGAAATTAGTTACAAATGCAA